CGTCCTGGTCTGGACGGCCCGTCCGGCCCATGTCTCGCGGATGGATTCCGTTAGGTTACCGTGTAGCCTTGTTCGTGGGGCAAGGCTCCACAAACCAGCCAATCCGGCGTGCGTGAGCACCGTTGCTAGGGTTTGTATCGCCTGCGCGTTAAAAATATGCCCGCGCGGGTCGGGGGGCAGTGCCCTTGGTATTCCTTGGGCGCCGCCGGCCTGTGTCTGCTCTGCCCAGTGGCGGCCGTTTCAGGGGGGGGGGGGGCAAAACGCATGCCTTGCCCCCCCACTCTGAGAACTGGGGGGGCAAGTGCCCCCCTTGCCCCCCCGGTTGGTACGCCCATGGCTGTGGAAGCTACGTGCTCATTGGGCCAGCCACACTTTCGCCACGCGATCACGCTCCCTCTCGCATACCCACCCGCAAAGAACGAGGTCAGGTGAGGATCGGGAGGCGGCTGATTGGTTCGGCAAGCCCATAGCCTCCACCGCACTGTCAGCTTAGGGATGAAGGGAATAAGTAAGTTCAGGTGTCGTGTGGACGTGCGTTCGGGCCAGGCGATGCGCCTTGGGTACCGCGGAAGTATCACTGTGAAAAGACAGAACGCTTTCAAAGAGAAGGAGGTACGATTAAATAGCCGGTATGTTTTCAAATTTTCGTACCTAAAATCAGGCTTTTGACATTCTACATTTCTTTCTTTTGCCCCACTAAACGGTATGCTATTAGTAAGGTCCCAATCTAAATTAATTTATCCCAACCCAAAATTCGTTTCATGGGCTTTTAAATCCACAACTGGAGCGGCTGCACTGCATGCCAGAGCAGTACCGCCTAGAAGACACGGTGTAAGATACACTCTTTAGGTGAGGACACGGCGGGGCTGAACGCGCGGCGCGAGGAATCAGATACTGTTCGTTCGACGGGCATCCGAAAGGCTGCATTATTCCGCGGCCACCGTGCCCGCGGCTGACGGTGTCGCCGGCGGCCAAACGGCGAAACTGTGTGAGAGCGAAACAAAAATTATCTCGTTGCCATGACACCCCGGTACACCGTAATCTTTCTGCACGAGCGACAACCTCGCTGGAGCTCTGCGCGTGTGGAGCATGAGGCGGCACGAGCCGTCTTTGCCGTGCCCACGGGTCGACGAGTCATCTTATGGCGCTGCTTGAAACCATAGTGAGAGAAAGAAAGAGAGAGAGTGAAAAGCGAACTTTATCTGCACTGCGCGAGGAGCGCGCTGTCCTCACCTGAAGAGTATTATCTTACACCGTGCTAGAGGACAAGCTCTGCACATATGACGCCATCGTTAGTGGTAAAGCCCCTTCATGTTTCAAAAGCAGCGCACAGTGCGTCGATGCACGAGGCACGAGCAACGTGCAGCCCTTGGGAAGATCATGGCGGCACAGCGCAGCCCGTTGGCGTAGCCCTGAGCTATTTCAAACGCCATGTTCTTCTCAGAAGTGGTGCGAGGCACGTGTCTCGAGCATTTCCACAACAATGAATGGCGGCACTTTTCCCAGGATAGAGGGGCTTTAGTTCGTGGATCCTGTAGTGGTTGGACTTTGTTGATAGATTGGGGACAAAGAAGAAGAGGAAATAAAGGTGGAGAACAGTGACGGTCGCCATTGCTTGGCTCCAGTCTCTGCCGCCTTTCTGATCATTATTGACCACTTCAACAACTCTACATTGGCGACGAGGCGACGTCTGCCGCTCGGGGCGCCGACGCGCCCCAAGCGGCGAACACGCTCAAGGTCGACGAGTGACGCCGCAAAGCGGCAGGCGCGTCCGTCTTGGCGTGGCCGCGTGCTAGCGTCGTACACGTTGTGAGACGTTGCTTGATGCGCGGGCGACGATGCTTACGCAAGCTAGGCGGTGCTGCTTCACTTCTCCAGAGATGACGTTTTGCAGTGATGGAAGTGGCATTCGACCTTTTGTAGCAGGCGAAATATGCGGACCACAAGTTCGTCTGCTTCTGGCGCAGTGGTTGCGATATGATGTCAGAGTGCCGACATCTTATTCGTTAATGAAAAAAAAAATAGTGGGTAGGCGTCAAGGCAGCTTGCTTTGAGGTCTACCCACTATCCTTTCAATCAGAGCTCGGCATCGTTTTGACGTCACCGCAACTCTTGCGCAAGAAACAGACGACTTGCTCTTGATGCTTTTCGAGCAGATACCAACGTCTTCTAAGTCACTTAAAAAAAAGTAACACCGAATTAGAGCGCAGCTCTTGAGGAGGAGAAGGGAAGGGTACTGGGGGGGGGGTCACGTGACTTGGGGGTCACGTGACGATGCCGATGATGTCATCAGTGACGATGACGATGCGGACTCCGATGACGTCATCAGCGATGATGACAATAACGATGCGGATGTCGGTGACGTCATCCGTGATGATTACGATGCGGATGCCGGTGACGTCATCAGTGATGATGACGATGACGATGCGGATGCCGGTGAGGTCATCAGTGACGTCACTGATCACGTCATCAGTGATGATGACGATGACGATGCGGATGCCGGTGGCGTCATCAGTGACGATGACGTCATCGGGGAGGTCACGTGACCTCGGCGGGGGGGTCACGTGACCCTCGGGGGTGGTCACGCGACCTCGGGGGGGTGTCACGTGACTTCGGGGGGGGGGGTCAAGGGACCTCGGAGGGGAGGGAGTCACGTGACCTCGGGGGGAGGGGTTCACGTGACCCTGAGGGGGGTCACGTGACCTCGGAGTGGTCACGTGACCTCGATGGGGGTCACGTGACCTCGGGGGGGGGGGGGCACGTGACTTTGGGTGTCACGTGACCTCGTGGGCCACGTGACCCTAGGGGAGGGGTCACGTGACCTTGGGGGTTACGTGACTTTGTGGTGATCTTGGGAGTCACGTGACCTTGGGGTCACGTGACCTTGGGGTGACCTTGGTTACGCCGATGCCGACGCCGCTCAAGCCGGGAACGGGCCCCTAAAAGCTGCGCTCTAAAAATGATTGTATTGATTGTTAAATGAGTTAATCTTTTATCATGATTGACAGCTGCTTTTTAATGCTGAAGCATATTAGCTATTATCGTTCGTAACAGAGGCGTAGACAGGAATCTTTTTTTTTTTTTTTTTTTTGGGGGGGGGGGGGGGGGGGGCGGCGTTTGCCCGAAACGTCGTGTACACTTTCCTGTCCACGTATTCTTTTGAGTAACACAACCATATATTTGCGATTTCGTGTTTAAACTCATTGTGCTCGGAAGCGCCCCCATTCTCTGGGATGTCCGGCCATGACTTGGGGTGCGGAGAGAGGGAGGGGGGTTCAAAATGCATGCTGGATTTCGGGGGGGGGGGGGGGGGGGGGCTGAAACCCCATACGCTCTCCCCATGTCTACGCCCCTGGTTTGTAATAAGAATGTATCAAACGAAAAAGAACACAAGGCCCTCTTTTTTTTTTTTTTTTAAATAATGCTCAGGTCAGAGTAGGTTTTATTTACAATGCAAAGGTTTAAAAAAAAAAAAAAAAACCTTAAAGATATGAAGCACGCCTCTCTCTCCCGCCCCCTTTTGAACTCGTTAGTTTACTTTGCTTGCACATTATAATTCCCGTAAATAGGCCAACATAGTGGCACTAGGCCAACAAAAACCAGCATATAGCTGCTAAAGTATGTCTGCCAATTACAATACGCCCCCCCCCCCCCCCCCCCCCCCCCGGCCACAGTTTTATGAAGCTAGCAAACTCAATATTCTAAGATAATAAACTGCAAAAAGATCCATCCACACACATATCATGAAAACCTACAGTCGTGTTTTAAAAGTGATATTTCGCTTTATCGGCGTTGGAACCAGAGTTGTGTCCAAGTTCGCTGCCCTTGACTGCTGCATGGATCTACCTTGACCGTTTGTTTATTTGCTTGTCTGATCTCCTTTCTCAACACAGCCGTTTTTATTTTTTTTAATTATAGTTCAAATCACAGTCAAGACCAAAGAAGGTCGACTTGTAACAGTACTCAGCAATGAGCATACGTTTTCCGATCCAATCACGCTAACCGGCTAGGCCAGGCGCTTCCCCATGTCAGCCGCTGCTCACAGTGGAAAGGGGGGGGGGGGGGAGAGAGGAGGAACAAGGGGTCGGTGACCGAGTGAGCTCGCGCACACTAAAGTCACTAGCCAGTGACTTTACGAGTACGTGGAGCGAGAGCTCGCGCTGCAGAACCCAGGGATCCTGGGCTCAATCTCCACCACCCCTGCCTGTTTCGATCTGGATGAGCATCGTACCGGCGTGCGGTCGTGTGGCACTGTGTAGTAATTAAAAGAAAATCCTCGTCGCCAAAATGTAGTAATTACTCGTCACCAAAAATGTAGCAATTAAAAGAAAATGCGGACACCCGAGAAAATAAAGAAGAGCAGTGCCTGCGTGGGCCTGCGGAAAAACGAGGAGTCTCACATGCCGAAGAGGTGACCGGCGGGACGGGCGCGCGGGAGCCCCGGACGGAGAGAGGGAGACGCCCGACGCGGTCGGTGGTTGAAGCGTAACTGTTTATTTAACGGTCAACAACGTGGGGTTGAGCGCCGCGGGGACGCAACCCTGATAACGCGGGCGCAATGGTGGAACAGTGGCGCCATCTAGGTAGTGTGGCGAGTGACTTAAATGAAAAAATTGAAATACTACACACTACACGTTAAAGACCCGAGGCCCGAGGCGGACTAACTTCCGGCTGTATAAACATACACACAACAATTCGCTTTGCTTTGCAAAGCGGTGGCCGGGGCTCCACGTGCGCGCGCTAGTGTGAGGCGGTGAAGGGACCGCAGTCTACATCACATCTATGTGGGCGATGTGTGGAGTGCACGTGCTCACACTTCATCTTTAGCCACATTCTCAAGCAAAAGGAACGCGCCAAACATCGTCATCTTTTTTTTTTCTTTTTTTATGTAGATTTTTTTTAATCATTCCAACGTTGGTCTCCCGGTGGCGGCTGCGGCGTTGATTGGCATGCTGTTCCAAAATTTGTATTGACTGCTAATTGTTCTGTTGGATCAAGGAATGTCTTTAAACACGGCACATTCTTCAGATGGACAAGGTGGAGTCATACTTTTTACGGGAGAATTGTGAGTATGGGTAGCTCTAGAACACGTCTCTGTTGTTGACACGTTGGACGCGCTCGGGGCCTGTGCAAAATGGGCTGTCATGTTGATATACAACCACGATTACGCCATGAGGCGTAATCTTGGTTGTTAATTCTTTTTCCAGCTACCGCGTGCACTTATATCTTGCTTCATGTACACCCTAAAAAAAAAAAAAAAAGTTCTTGAAATGTTTTTTGAGGCCCCAAGAACTCTCAGCACGTGAAGAACGTGTTCGCCCCAATCAATAGCTACTGCACTAGAAAGGCAACTGGGCGATGAAGAACTCTTTAGCATAAAAAAGAGCTGAAAAGAAAGGTGGACAAGCCAAAGAACCTCTATGAATTATTTTAGGATCAGATTATTTTTGTGTTGTTTGTAGTTATTTTTTTCTCTCTCTCTCTCCTGGAACAATATGTCACCATGCCACCAGAGGCCAGGCCATAAAAAGTGCCACTCTTTTGGCACAAGCGAATTCAGCTTCAAGGGGGTCGTCTGTCAAGAAGGTGGACATATCTTATACCGACCTCTAAGTGACCGGTATATCTAGAGTCAAAAAGTAAACTGTAAATATGTATGGTGCGCTCAAGGTAATTGTTTATTTCGTAGATGAAGGGACAGGGCGGCTATGTTGCACATTTTGGACTCCCAGGTGACTAGGGAGAAGGAAGTGACGTAGGTGTGAATGAACGTGTCTTAGCAGCAACGCGTCATCAGCGACTCCACCAATCAACATCCAAAGAACGTTGTTGACGTCACTTCCTTCTCCCTAGTCTCCATGGAGTCCAAAACGTGCAACATAGATCCCAGGGGTTCGCAGGTCACCTCATTTGAGAGTTCGGGATTTACGCACCTCTCTGTCTCGTCTTCTTCAATTCTTGCACGCAGCATCCTGATATTCTACGATGGAGTCACCGTCAAATTCGAGGGTTCCGATGCGCAGTCGTTTTATGGAACATGGAAGGGAAGAATTTACCTTACCACCCACAGGGTACGTCTACTTCTATACAGTCACCTGGCCCTGTGCTTCTTATTATACCGTTCCGCAGCCAATTATAGGTTACAATGTTAGCCGATAAAAGCGCCGAAAAACGATTTGCATGAGGCCAGAATTGTCAGTGACTATTGCGAAAAATGTTTGAATGTCATAATAGACCTTCCCAGGAATGACCATCATCTTAGAACTAATATTGCGTCGATATCACTTTTTCAGTCGAAGTTTCGGTTCACACACAAGCCGAACGCTGCTACGTCAGTGTTCGGCTGGAACTCGTATTCTCGCTGACGACACGATTGATACCGAACGCCGACGCAGCGCTCGTGTCCAATCGCGCCCCGCGTTGACCTCTCAAGGTGACTTCGAAAATCCAGCACTACGGCTTTGCTATCCAGGAGATGCTTGGTTGTAGCACAATATTTGGCTTTACACATGGCCTTTGCCCTGTTCATCGGTGACTCCCTTTCTCTCCCGGTGGGGCTTCCTTTTTTTTTTTTATACGGCGGAGGAGCTGCTAAGGGCTATAGTTTCCCCAGTATCGTGTCCGTCGACAAACAAATGATGACACGAAACTCTGGTCAGCTACCGACATCTATGAGAGACGGCGGCAATCAGCCGGTTGTCTGCTTGCCGCCGTCGCCCATAGATGGCGAAACCTTTCCAGACTTTCCATTTTAGCTTGCCAATTTGCAGCCGGCCATTACTTCATTCCCACCGTAGTACAGCTTCGCTGGTCTTCCTTCACAAAAGTAAAAAAGCTAAACGTTTTTTTTTCCAGACGAATTTAATTAAAACACATTTACGTTCAATCGTTGTGTTCGAGCGCTACTCAAAGTTCAAAGTCTTTCAACAAGCATGTAAGCCCATAGGGGACGCGGGCGCCCCAAAGAGAATCGCGACCAAGTGATCATCTGCCGGATACTTATCGCGCCAACTGAGCTAAGCTGCGCAGATGTTCGAAGAGGATCTGCGCGAAGAGCAGCTGTGTGGGAGAGCAAGCTTTACGTCCAATTCCGTGGAAAGTTGACGGGTAATTTTACGTCGCATCCCGCGGAAGTGTATTAAAGCAAGCAAGTGTTCTAAAACGCGTGTTTTGGCGCATAGAAATGCAAAGAGAGGCACGCCAATCAACGGCAACATAGAATGCGCGATGATGAGGAACAGACATACTTACGCCGTGTATACAGGTTTTTTTAAGCTTTTTCAGATTTAAAGAAATATATCCTTGAAAGCTACACTTATGCGGTTTGTGCAGGTGAGTTATGCGGCCAGGGGGACATAATATAGGGTGCCAATCGTAACGATCAGTCGGCTAATTAATTAAAATGTGTTAATTAACTTTTTTAATTATTGAAAATATGCATATGGTTCCAATTAGAAACTTGCTGAGCGTCATCGTAAACCACTAAATCAACACTTCTTACAAGCATGCAACGCGGAGGCAGCAATTTACGGCGTTCAATAGAAACGCCCCATTTGGACGCGTTTCTGTGTTTCGGTTTCTTATCGGAGCGCATCTCTGCGCCCGCGGTCCTGCTCCCCAGTGGCCGAGACGCGCAACACCCGTGCACCCTACTTCCCTCCATCCTACGAGGGAGGCGAGGAGGTAGCTTCGCGCTGCGACCACCGGGGAGCAGGACCGCGGGCGCAAAGATGCACCCCGATAAGAAACCGAAACCTGGAAACGCGTCCAAATGGAGCGGTTTTTTTTTTTTTTTTTGGAACATTGTAAAATGTTGTTTCTGTTTGATATCTTTCGATTGTGCGTAGCAAGTTTCCGATTAGAGCCATATGTCTATTTTCACTAATTAAAGCAACTAATTAACATTCTTTTATTTAGCCGACTGATTGTGACGATTGGCCGTATAATTCCCCTCCACAGACCGCGTAAGTGTAGCTTGCACGTTTTTTTTTTTAAACAAAATGTGTAATGTTTAATAAAAGACACCCTGCATATGGTTCACGCTGAACATATTCTGTACTCCTCAATTTTTGTCAGGGTAACCAAGCTTGTGTAATGTTTGCTGATCATCATGAACACACCATCATCATCATTATGTTCAGATGTTGTTTGTTAACGGGAGCCAAAAAGGCAAGCTGCAGTCCTTCAGCTTTCCCTTCGGCCAGATCAGCAACCTGGGACTGGAGCAGCCCATCTTTGGCGCCAACTACATCACGGGGAAAGTCCGGTCGGAGCCTCAAGGTGCGTGAAAACAATCGCCTACTGCTCTCACGACACCGCCACGTGTCGGATGGGAAAACTTAGCACGATATAAAGGCAGTGCACGTGTCATTCTGAACGTATACTCGAGGGACATTCATAAGTCAACCGTCTCGACACGGGCTGTCCTTCCTTTTTTGCTTCACCTACGAAAACACGCAATAGCGGCCCTTTAACTTTTCTTCTGCTGTGTAAGATAGTCGGTTAACATGAAAAGTGGCCGTGTTTATCATACCCTAAGTGAAACATTGACGCGGAGGAGGGAGAATCAACATCGACGCACACACCAAGTTGTCACGCCTTTTATCATACCCTTTCTGAAATCGCTGCTGACAACCCTAAGACACCATATTTGACAGCAAGAGGCGGCCTTGCTGCTTCGTTAGCTTTTTAACAGAACCCCTTAAACCAGATATTTGTTTGGCCGTCCGCTGGTCCGTCTGAACGTTTCCCAGCTAAATTTAGCGGGGAAGTTGACGTCACTTGACTTACACACTAATTTCGTTTCTTCGCTAAATTTAGCGGGTGAATTGACGTCACGCGACCTTAACGCCGATTGAGTTTCCCCGCTATATTTAGCGGGCTCAATTTCACCGCTATATTGAGCGAGGAAACTGACGTCACGTGACTCATTATACACGTTTGCGAGCACAGCCTCAGGGCGCCGCCATTTCGATCGCTTTGGGCGTGCTTGGGCGCGTCATGAATCCAATTATGGTCGTAACTGAATACATGCCGCGCCCAAGCCAGGGGTGGATCCATCAGAGGAGGTCCTAAAAAAAGGGGGGGGGGGGGGCCATGATTAAAAAAAAGAATGAACGCCGTTTACAACTCCCTGTAACACCGAATTAGAGCGCAGCTCTTGAGGAGGAGGGAAGGGTAAGGGTCACGTGACCTCGGGGGAAGGGGTCACGTGACCTTGGCGGGTCACGCGATCTCGGTGGGGGTCACGTGACCTTGGGGGGTCATGTGACCTGGGGGGGCACGTGACCTCACGGTTACGCCGACGCCGGTCAAGCCGGGAACGGGCGCCTAAGAGCTGCGCTCTAAAAAAAAGGAAAGGGGGTGCGGGGCGGGGCATACAGAGGGGAAGACTTAGCATGTTCATTTAGCCACGAAACCCCGTTGCACACATCACTGGGTGTTTGATCTTTGTTAGAACGCACGTATAAATAGTAAAGAGAGAGAGAGAGGTCTTTACCCCTCAGCGGCACGAAGGTTAATAATTCTAAACATGATTGCGGTACTCTCGGGCTTTGAAGCGAGAGATAACGGAATCATGATTTGACTCTGTGCCTACTTCGCACTACCTAAGACTAGGGTTTAATGTTTTCGGTAAATTCCAATAAACCAAAAAGATTAAACCCCGAGTAAGTTTTATAAAAATCGGGAGAAAAAAAAGCTCCTAATTAAAGGTGTCCCTGAATTAAAAAAAAAAAAAAAAAAACAATCTTTGCCGGGAAAAAATTTTCATCTATAGTTTAATTTTGACACAACACCGCCTCCAATGAACTGTACGCGAGGCTGGCTCTTGCTCTGGAACCCCGCATCCCGTTTCTTTTCTTTCTTTGATACAGTGGTGTATTGATTACTCGGGTCCATGGGTTTCCCCAGGAATTGAAATGAATGGGGGGGGGGGGGTCTAAATTTTAGGGGGGGGGGGGGGGACATTGAGAATAGAGGATGTGCCACTGGCCCAAGCACACCCCAAGCAAGCAAGATGGCGGTGCCCTGAGTCCGTACCTACAGACGTGTATAGAACAATTCAGTTTCCCCTTAATAACTTTAGCGGGAAAATTAATAAAGACAATTCCGAAACGACTGTTCAACGCCTTCCAAACAAATTTACAGGGTCTCTCCTTACAGATACTATACTGCATTCTATGCATTACAAAATTTTAAAAGAAAAGCGCGCTCCATTTCTTTTTTCCCCTGTGGCTTCATGCTTTCAGCTGTTGTACCGTCCATTTCGATCGGATCGGTAATGCAGCGACCTTTTCCTTGTTGCCCTCACAGGGAACTGGTATGGAGAGTGCAACTTCAGCCTCTCCTTTGGTAAAGGCGGAGCAGTCGAGTTCGGCAGAGCACTGATGGAAGCCAAGAAATTGGGTGAGCCAAACCCGCGTAAAATCGACTAAATAAAACATTATAAAAAAGCTGTGCACATGTTGATACAGCGGAAAGTCAGTAAGCCCTAACGAACTTCTTTCTGGTTGTCTCCGCCGTAGACGAGAAATTTAGCCAGTGCCATACCACTGCTAGCCTGTAGTGGTCCATAACCGCACGCCAGTACTATGATCTAGTGGATTTTGAAATGTATACACGATGTTTCCCGGAAAGGCCAAGCGAGTTCTCCCTGGGACGTGTAAATAAACCGCAGAGCGTTGAGTTCACACTCCGGTTACATGTAATGGAACATTATACATTTTAATACGAAAGGATTAAGCCTGCCGAAGGCGCGGGGATGGAAACCGTCTACCTACCCGTTACAAAGAGTGCGCACTGTAGTGCGCAATCTTTGTAACGATCTTAATCATATGGTTTTATGACGTGCGTAACGCGACTATGTCGTCTCGGCAATCAAAAAAAGCTATGACCTTAATGAGTCCATTAGAGTATAAGAGCAACCATCTCCATCTTGCATCTCCAAAAAGAGTCGGGGCCCCCCGTGTGCGCTCTGCTGTGGGTCGTTGTCCAGTGGGTTCAGCGCGGTAACCAGAGCGATCGGGAGTGCTCGCTGGCTGGGAGAAGTCTGCTTCCCTCTGTTGTCCCGATAGGCTCATGGTAGCCATATCCTTCGCACTTCGTCAAGTTACGTGGAAACGGATCATGGCCACGTACAAGAACTGTAGCGCGTGTGAGGTGCTTCATTGGGCGGTTGTCCCTGCATGTGCTCCTTCTGAACATGACGGTTGCAGACGATCAGGGCGTATGCGTGTCCATGAAGTGTTAACACATACACGCCTAAAGCCAAGCCTTTTTTGCTTGTGTGCATCAGCTCTAAAAGTGGCCATTGGGCAGGCCTCCGCCGTGCGGTGTCAGTGCAAAGTGTGATCTCTGCGCACGCCAAAACGCCGTTTACAAATAAGTCCGCGCTCGTCCACAACAGGTTTGAGCACTGCGCGTGTGCAGGAACTAGAGGTTCGCGGGAAGTGAATCGTTTTGCGCATGCGCAGTGCCGACAGCAGCGCCACCGCCTTAGGGTTGAGTTCTTGCCTATAGGGTGTACGTACCGCGTGCTGTGTGCAGCGGCACGGACTGCTGTCGATGGCAACATTGAGGCAGCTGTATTGGTGGGGATGCCCGGAATGCCTTACATGGTCCCGCCATCGACCGACTTGGGGTTTGCCCTGCCCCGTCAACAGTTCCCGAACGCTCCGCCAGGTGGGTCGCGCCACTCAGACGCCATTGGTTAACAGGCGGCCGCCGTAGGTAGCGTATGCTGTTTCTCTTTTACTCAGGTAAGCGTTTTTTGTGTTTGTTTTTTAATTTCGATAGACAAAATACACCATCTGCGGTCACCTCTGTATAAATTCTTAGCTCGATACGTTAACTTTTTCCTGGCCGCACTCATAGAGCGCCGATCACCCGTGATCGATGGTGCGCCTTAGAACTCCCGTATACTCGCTGCATGGGCCATCTCGTGGATAGTTTAAAGGGGTGCTTCGGCGATATTCTTATTGCTACCTCAAAATTACTAGTAACCAAAATAATAGTTAAAAATTTTTTTTTTCGCGGAGTTGGTGATTTTATTAATGTGGTCCTCACCGCGTTGTATTAAAACTGCGAGACTCTATATGCCAACTAAGAAAAGTGTAACTACAGAAGTTCAAGTTGTTTCTAATAGGTTAACAATGAATGTCGAAAAAACTCACTCACGCCGAAAAGAAAGAAAAAGAAAGCGCTACATACTGTGTTTTTGAGACAGCCTACTCATCGTACATCACCGCACCGGAAAGTGCGGGGAGATTCGAACGCTTGTTTTGTTTTCATATTCATTTGCCGTTTTCTAAATAGCTATTTTGAATTTAAAGATAATCATAGCATGCCGGGAAGAGTAATGCCTGGGTATTCCGAAGATGGGGTTAGTTTGGGTAGCTACCAATTTGTGCAGTTCCTTCAGAGGGCCAACAATCGCTTTGGTTCTCGTGGTAAAAGAGAGTTCGACCCGCGTTCTTCGGCATCGCAGCAGGCACCGTGTTCGTGGCAAACACGGCCGCGCCCTACCCCGGTCTTCCGATGGCCCAGCCCGCACCGGTTGCACCGCTGGGGCCTGGTTTCCAGCACGCAGCCACGGGAAGCCGGGGCTGGAACCTCAACCCGCCCGGTGGCACCTCCAGTGGGCCCTTTGGATCGCTATTCCCTGGTGAGGGGAACGATTAATATCCACGGACCATGTTCCTATACGAGTTACGGGCTCGCAGGGCCAAACAACCGGATTCCTTTGGTCACGTCACTCCCCCCGTACGAAAATGCCAGTTCCAGACTTGCGGACAGTTGAGATCCGCGCGGATCCGATCTGGTACCGCGTGGTTCCGAGTGTAACCAGTCGGATCCGGTGAGACGCAACGGACTGGAACCGCACGGTGATGGGTGGATCCGATTTATTCCCGTTGGTTCCAGTAGGGTCTGCTACCAGCCAGCGGGCGCGCACATGCGTTACTGGAGGAGGAGGAGGAAGGGGGGGGGGGGGTGTCGGCGGGGAACCCCGTTCTTTTCCCCGCGGTCTCTCGCAGGTCACGTGTTAGGGACAGGCGCATCAGCTATGCAGGCGCTGCGAGCGGTCGTTTTTTGCGCCCGCGCCTCGCTTTGCCTGTTCGGGGACCATAATCTGGACACTTGGTGGAAAAGTCGGCAAGAAATTCGGCGGCTATGATTGGCCGGCGCCAAGGTCAAGTGTGGCGTTGGCCAATCGCGGCCGCCAGATTTCTCGCCGACGTTTTCGCCAAGCGTCCAGCTTAGGGCCCCGGGAGTCTCGGTTCTTCACTCTCGTCGAACTGTCGGCCGGCGCTCGACCGGCGGCAACGTTCGCTCTGCGGGCGCACGGATACTGATGTGCCGATTGGTTCCCTGGATGGATACCCACTTACCTCGGCTTCGAATCTTCATATGAAGTTGCCGACCCCTGGCATTCTGGCTCGGCATCTGGATGCGCTTGGCGCTGGTGTGCTTGGTGACAATACTTGGACAACTGGATACCGCTTGCCCGCCGGAACTTCCTGATGCGCTCAACACTGGATACTGTGCTTGTGCGTGTGTGTGTTCTGTGCTCTGTGTTTGGTGACGACGCCTAGACGACCGTGTGCGCCGCCGGAATTCCCGCTGCGTTCCCCACTGGACTCTACAAAAGTATCTCGCGCGATGCCCTTAGCCATTACAAGCGAGAGATCGTCGCGATTTCAGACCCAGGCTGTTCCGCATGTGTCTGAAATCGCGACGACCTCACTTGTAACGGCTAAAAGCATCGCGCGAAATACTTTTGTGGAGTCCAGTGGTGAGCGCAGTGGGAACTCCGGCGGCGCACCACCTGGGTCTGAAATTGGGGCACCGGTTGGTACCGCGCAATACCAGTGGATCTGCAGAGCCCCTGGAACCAGCCGGTTCTGCCTAAACCTGAAATTGAAACACCAGTTTGTATCCCGTCTGAAACTGCGTGGTTCCAGGCGGGATACAAACTGGTGCCCTAATAGACCAATCTCCCTAAGTGTTCGGCGCATGCGTGTCGCCGCCATAACTTTAGTTCACAGGAGGCAGACGGCCGTGCATGCGAGGGCTCGTGCCCTCTCGTGCTCTACACACGCCGAGCTCCAGCAAGGTTGTCGCACGCGCAGAAAGAATAAAGTTACCTCGATGCATTGCGGCAGTGGTGTCATAGTCAAACAGGCTGGTGAGATCGGTCTATTTCAGATCCAGGCGGAACCGGCATTTTTCATTCTAGCCTATATCTGACATTTTAGTACGGGCCCTCTCCGCGTGGATATGGGCGAGAGCGTATGATCACGGGGCAAAGAGATAGAGGTATACGAGTGGTTCAAAGAGCCCGTAGCTCCCATCCAGAGCTAGTCTGGCCACAGTGGATGGAAAACGCTTTGTTTGGGTGCACGTCTGAAACCGTTGGTACGCCTCAGCTATGCTTGACTATCAGGCAATCTACCCACACCAGCAGCAATATGGCGGCGCCCAGAGGAGTCAGCGCTTGCCCACACCAGGTGTGAGCACTGTGCCTGCGCAGAGGCCACGATTCACGTACAGTAAAGCGTCTGCGCATGCGCCGCTCCGACTGCAGCGCCACCGCAGCGGCGTGGCGTCGGAGCCGCGCGTTGGTGTGGCTTGTTGTCTTGCATTGTCGTCACACCAGCAGCCATTGTGGTGGCAGCTGTACATGTACCCTTCTGCTGGATAAATTTTCAGGTAGGAATGACCAGCAGCATGGTGCGATGACGTCACACGCAAGCCACGTCTACGGAGAGAAACTGAGGGAGAGGATGAGATGAAGGAGCGGGGGGATGTCGGAGCACCGAGCTCTGATTGGAAGGACAGTGAGAAGAAAGCTAGCTGTCTTTGTTTCCACGTCGACTACCCACTGTTCGCACGTGAGACATTGCGCGAGGAGCGGACAACAATCGTGTTTGCTCTGATTGTAATTGGAGACCGTGGGTATAAACGAAAGCAGCTAGCCCTTTCGCCTACCCACTAATATCTTCCAAACAGAGCTGGGCGCTCGGAAGTTTCCGCGCGTTTTCTTATCTCCAACTCCCCATCAGTTTTTCTTCGCAAACACCAATCCAATCAGGGGCGAATGCAGGTGTTTTCAGTGGGAGAGTCCTCTTCCCCTCTCAATCCGTCACTGATTACAATGTTCACAAACCCAGAGACAGCCCAGTACTCGTGTGTTCGTCGCTTTGCAAAGCCTGTGAAAAGGCGGGCGTCCTTAGCACGGACACTGAAGGTTGCAACAACCAAAGGGCAGTTAATGGAACGGGGTGTAGGGCCATTAAATAAGCTACGGTTTGGAGTCTTCAGCCATCGTGGTGCTTTAAATCATAGTTCCCAGTTCAAAATTCCCATTAAGTTCCAATTGGAATTTTCTTATTGGTACCAATTGGTGACTTATTGGTACCAGTTGGGTTTTTGGACAACCAATTGGTCACTGCCAATGGGAACCAACGGGAACCAATGGGAACCATTGGGAACCCATTCAGGTTCCAACTGGAAAAATAATTCCAATTGGTGAGACCCATTGGCCAGTGTGGTTCCAGCTGGAACCCACTAAAACCAATTGGTTCCAGTTAAAACCAGTTGGAATTCCAATGGGATTTAATGGGAATTTTCAGCTGGGTTACCAGTTATCCGAAACTTGGTGCGAAATCGCAGGAAACGGTTTTCTGTCGTTCAAGAGATGTTCAAACAGTCCGCGACATACCAAGACGATATCGGCTCTGCTCCCTGATACCATTAAAACACCGACGTTTTTTTTTTTCTTTTTTTTTTCAATGCACCAAAAGATTATGCTACAAGCTGATTCATATAAGAGAACCACACTTTAAAATTGCGATCGGTGAAATGAGTGGTCTTACACTCTAGGGGATGTCCTTTCTTTCCAGGTTTTCGAAGGGGATGATAGACAGATCGGCGGTTCCACCATGCGCCTGCTATACTCCATCGCCGGCAGGTGACGGCAATGACGGCGTTCAAATATCGACCAATGACGTCACCTGGCAAAGCCCTCGTGGGACCAGAGCGACCGATGACACTTCCGATCGCCCGAACGTATTATTGTGTAGCCCGTTAGACGCCACGCCTCCTCGGTGCGTGTCTTCAAAAACGTAAAATCCAAAGCACGAATAATAAACTCAGTTAACTACGTCACGATCAGCATATGCTTCTCTGCGGCTTCGAACCGGCTTTCATCACTGCCCACCGGTATAGTTGTGGCAGACAGACTTTCTGTGTCTTGAACGCCGATTTGAGATATATGTACGAGCACCTTTTACTCCTGAAATGTCACAGAAATATTCACTACATACCAAGCGGTGGCGGGATAGGGTCAGTAGCACCCGAAACGCCCCCCCCCCCCCCTCCCCACACACACACACACACATCCCTTGTGACGCCACTGCTAGCAAGTCAACGTTTGCCCACACCAGCCGGTGGGCTATCTGGCCCCCACATTCAAATGAGTTTTAGACCCCTGATCTAAATGAATATACTTTGGCGGTATTCTTGAGCTACCAAAATTTACGACATGTTATCAATGCCGAACTTTATTCTTAACGGCACATTGCAACAACATCACATGTTAAAAAAAGAAAAAAAAAAAAAAAAGTACGTTGAGCAGGCATTTTGCGCATTGTTTTTGTGCTGCTGAGCAAGTGCTGGAGGAGTACGCTTCGACAGCATTCGGTGCCCACCCACTTTCGCCCGTTTTCGGTTTCGAGAGTTCCCTCGGCTGCCATTTTATATGGAACACTTCAGAACAATTCTTATTACTTTTAAACAAGATATCGGTTCGTGCTGAAACTTTGGCATCTGGTTCGGACCTCTAGCGCCAGACCTTCGGGCGGAGAATGAGCGTTCAGCGATGCCTAGTTTATAAACAGAACAAAGAGCGGATTGGTTAAAGGGATACCTAAACGAAATTTGAAATACACCCATCGTGTTCAAAAGCAGGTTGAATATCATCCAGAATATCCGTAAATGACAATCGCACGTTTCTATTTTGAGCCTTGTGGCTGTATCCCTCGTTATAAACGCCCACTCTGGCAAGCGCTCGGAGCACAGTCAGCGGGGACCACGTGACATCCAACGCAATCGTGACGTAGTTCGTCTGGGGACGAGCAAAGCTACGGCGAGGTTGACGTCGAGAGGATGGCCTAACTAGCCGGCGAAGCGGCTGCTTTTGTACGAATTTTGAGTAACGGGAGTTCCTCCCCCACTCCCCCTCTTCTCTCGTCGTGGCCGGAGGCCAGAAAGTTACCGTCACTAGCTGTCAAGGTTCCTAGACGGGCATTACAAAGGAGGCGTTAGCGACATCCACCACCACCAGGTGCTCTTTGTTAATCGTTTCATTCGTTTTAAAATTCCTTTTCGTGACTTTCTTAACAAGATATTGGTGTGTTCGATGTGATACTGCTCCTTTGAACACATATAGACCAAAAAATAAGCGCCGAAATTTCGTTGTAGTAAAATACGAGAATCAAAGAAAGAGTAAAAACATTTAGGGACAAGGACAGACAGCACAGCTTTCAGAATTGTCCTGTCTGTCCTTGCCCCTGAGTGTTTTGATTCTTTCTTTGATCCTTGGGTAATTTATTTTTGCAATAAAAGAAAAACTTTTTTGTGTGTGTGTGTGTGTGTGTGTCCGGGGGGGGGGGGGGGGCATTTTGCTCGCTGCCCAAATGGCCCAAATATTAGACATGTATCACGCTTCACGTCACTTAAAAAGTGACGAAGAGAAAAAATAAACATTTTATAACTTCGGAGAAAGAAATAACATTGATATTATTTGCGTTGCTAGTTCAGTGGATGCTACTGGAGCATTAAAATGAATTTGAGGAAAGTAAGCGACCACAGATCGGGCTCGTGTCATTTCTGTGCAAGTGCATTTAGAAATAATAATAAAAAAAAAAATACTTAGCTGTAACCACAAATGTATTTGAGCATGCAAAGTACACTATAACTAGGGTGTATACTTTCCGATGTTTATTTATGACGAAATCGGCGGATGTTTATCGGTGTTTATTTATTTCTAGAATACCGGTGCTTTTCGCTGAACCCCCTCGTGCAGACGCGAAAAACGGCGATTATCGGGGTAACATATGGAAACGACCACTCAAGACTAGAAACAGTTGATATTGCATTTACATCTCTTAGTTAATCTCTTTCACATTTGATTATTGTAGTATATGCACGCATACATTCCTATGCTTGTGTCTGTTACTCCTTCCTGTTGACGACGCGCAAATTCGAGAATGCCCGCTCAACATTTGCGCTGGACACGGGAAGACCCAAAACGTCCAACCTGGCTCGGGGCAGTACTGGCCAGTTGTGACTGGCCTCTCTGACCACTGATAGTGATCTTCAAGGTAGGTGGCTTAGGAGGACTGCTGACCTTGGACAACAGTGGAACGAAGCTACTGTCCTTCAAGAGTTCAAGACGTGTTCAAGACCACGTAGGTATCCCAAAAGAAAGACAAAGTGCAGGATTCTGGGTAAGATAATGTGTTTGACGGAAGTTTGCATAGAACGTTTTCAGTGAAAAAAAAAAAAAAAAAAGACAACACATTGCTAGGATAAAATATTTAGAAACAGGTGTTTTTTCGCTTCTAATGACTTTTATTTCCGTCACCGACGGATGTTTATCGGTGTTTTTCAGTTAAAACTGGGAAGTTTTAACCGAACTTTTTCGTTGAAAGAACCAGTGCCTGCTCGAAAATATGAAAAAAAGCGGTGTTTTTCGGTTTCAAACGATCTTTATTTTCGACACCGGCGGAGTTTTATTGGTGTCTTTCAATTAAAACCAAAAAATATAGAGCCTGCCTTAAAAACTCGATGATAAGACGCACTCGAACTGTATTTGTGCTGCCACACGCATAGTTTCGGTTCTTTTATTTTCGGTTTCGGTACGAAAGGGGGCGTTGTCGGCGATCAGACTGGTGGCCATTTTTTCCCTGGTCCGATGCTGCAAGTTGCGAGATTGGCGATTGGATACGTTGTACCGTCTCTGGAAGCGCAGTTTTGGTAAAGCCAAAGAAATCAACGGCCACGTACTGATCGAGGGACCCTGAAAATGTCGTTAAACACCGCCCATGCACCGGGCGGGGTCCTCATCTTCAATGGAGAAATGTAAGTGTATGACAGCGCATAACCTTTCTCCCCTACGGTCCTGTGTTACGTCATTTCAAAACCATACCAATTATTTGAGCGTCATTAACTAAAGAAAGGTTCCGGGTACTGTTTGTTGGTATTGAACTTATCCTTATTACTTGAGAAGCTCGAAAAATCTTGTGAATTCACCAGCTAGATCGTTATCCTCAGCTATGCCACACAGGACATTACTGATCGAGCAATATTGTACTTCCGTTTCTTTTTTTTTTGTTGTTTTGTCTTTTTCTTTCGTCGCACACTTGTATTGGCAGATTGTTTAGTCAAATACGTGTCGTTAGAGGCCTGGGTATTTGATTTGCGCATATTGAGCGAAAAAACGAGAGTTTGAAACTACGGCAACGTCGAAGCGACATGAACGATCATGAGAATGCAACAAGACCACAAGACCTCCAGTTGTCATCACGGCGTCTGTAGCTTTCAGCGGTCAGTTGTCGATTGAGGGAAATACACCGCTATCTGCGATGCAGTAGGGCGTCAGGAAGTTACATGATATTGGGCAATGCTCTTGACATATGACTGCCCCGGCGTGAGAATTTGCTTTATCGCTTCGTGCTCCGCGTAAGATCACAGGCTACTGTGATATAAACAACCTCCTCCTCCTCCCCTCCCTTCCCATATTTTTTTCCCATATCTATATGTGTATATTTTTACCACTTAGTTTGTCGTTTGATTAATAGTTGGTCTACCTGAACACATCTGTTATGAACACGAAGGACAACAATTATTATTGGTGTTATTTGACACAGATGTCGCTTTTGTAACTGGTCTAAGTGTCAGCAGGACTAAACATTTTCTTGTATTTTGTTAATGCGGAGGGCAAGTCGTCTGCTTTTTGCGCAGGAGTGGCGCTGACGTCAAAACGACGCCAAACTCCCATTGGCTTTGATTGAAAGGATTGTGGGTGTAGACCTCAATGCTGGGTGCCTTGAGGTATACCCACTATTTTCCTTGATTAGCCATTATGAGCCTATGGCATTCTGACATCATTGCAACCCCTGTGTAAAAAACAAACTTGCACTCCACAAAAAAAAATAAATAAGGAAGGAGCTTTTTACAAATTTTTATGTTGCAGAGATTCCGTAACATATACAGAAACTACATTTTGGGAGACTCGTGTGCAGGTTCTTCAGTTTTATTCAATTGATCAGATTTGGCTACTTGAGAGGAGATGAATTCCGCTTTTCCCCACTTTGCAGCTGCAAATGGGCCTCCTTAAAGAAAAGCCTGTCTCCATGAAATGCGATCCTACAGGTGTTGTTCTTGAATACAAACATTTAAATAATCGCAAAGAGATTTAAATAGATTTCCTTGCGAGCTCTCATTAGGGAGAGGAGGACAAGCTATATATCTTAATGTAGAGTATGATGATAACGCTTAATCGTTTCGTTTTGATAGAGAGTGACTCAGACCTTGACTGCTACTTTTCTTTAATGATGCTATCGTTTCAGGGCCATTTCAATTAGTTCTTTAAGGCCGCTGCTGCTCATCTGTTAAAGGACAAGGCCATTGGTTTGTTCGCTTATTAGGTTTTGGTATTTTAAGCTGGCCCTTTTTTAGCAGTGTATTCCGCAGGCACCTTGTGCCCGCTTCCCTACGCAATCGTTTTGGCTGCTGGAATAAAAATGTTTTGAGGTTTGCCCGCAATTATGGTTTCCACTATTTTGCTTCGTTTGCTTCACATAACTTTGCAATACCTTCATAATTCTGTTCTGTTTCCATATGCCTGACAGCCTTAAGAACTGGATTCACATTGCTAATACATAATACAAAAGATAGTCTCCACACACTGTCGGCAGCATGTTCCTTCCTCACATGACTGTCCTCTCACAATGATCGTACAGAAACTGTCTGCACACATGTTTGAAGCACACACATCGGCGAAGCGAATGCGCTCGAAGACGCCCGAGGCATCCACAGCTACTTCTGTCCTCTTGTCTGCGGGACTTTGGCATAAAGCCGAACGGGGTGAGACACACATGGGAGCCAAATTACTGCCGAGGTTTTCCCACAAACATTTTGGAGTGCGAGGCATGGCATATTTTCCATTTCCCTTATCTTTGAAGCACCTGTATGCCACATATCGTCACTTGTTGTCTTGAACCCCGTTCAAGCCCGACGAGCAGCCAGAAAGGAGTAAACTCTCGCCCGATATTTTTCCTTTCCGATTGAGAGGCCGCATTATACTTTACAAAGGCCTTACGAGTCTTTATTTTTTTTTCCCCCTCCGAGTCCCAGCAGCATTGAGCATTGTGCGCTTCCGTTGTTTTCAGCATTCTCCTCTACGTCGATGGCGTTGACCTCACTTTCGAAGGGCAAGACGCACGCGGCTTTGCGGGCACCAAGAAAGGACGACTCTATCTCACCACTCACAGGGTGAGCATTTTGGGCCCGTCGTGAAATGTCGCCGGCGTTCTAAAAAGACTTTCGGCGGCGGCGCTAATGCGAGATGCTCATCTACCACGCAGGTTCTCAAACTGGGCTCCTTAGAACCCAGGGATAGCCAGAGTTCCTCCAGCTCCAAAATTTCCTCGACCATCCCTGGCCCTTGACTAACGTGCGCTTCCAGTTTAAAAGGGCTCTAAACCACCTTCAGAGATAGTCTATCTATGACCCTAACTCAACCTGTGGGCTCTAACCATCCTAAGAAACTGAACATTACACTCGTACGTGGTTGATCTCTCTATTAAGATCGGTATAAATGACTGATTACTTTGGAACCATTGCAGACACCAGGGGACGTCGTTGCATGGGGAAAGGCGGGGCTGTGCCCTTTTTCTTCCGATGGCACCATCTGGTGTTGATCTTTTGATACCAATTTTAATGGAGGAATTGGCCACAGGTGAATGTAATGTTTTGTTTCTTAGGGTGATAGAGACCCTAGATGGTGTTATTACCATACATAAACTATCGCAGAAAGTGGCTTAGTGCCCTTTTAGCACAGTTTTAGAAGATCAGACAGACCCCGGCCATTATCTTCATTTTTGCTTAGAGTATCTGTGAACTTCTGCTCTATTTTTTACTGCTTTAAAGACAGATCACGCTTGCAAAATGAGAACTCATCTGTATGAACTGATGCTTTCAAATACTTGTTTTCGTTTTTTCGGCATATGGCTGAAGAACAGAATTGGCTACCGTAAAATACTGAGCATGCGCCCCCCTCGTGTAAGCGCCCCCTCTCATTTTATGAAAATTAAATATTTTTGTGGCCGCCATCTTTAATGTTACTCCTGAATTGAGTAAGGGCCCCCTCCCTATTTTGATTGGATAATCTCTAAATTTGGAGGGGCGCTTGCTCGTTATTTTACGGTACCCGTTAATATTTTGGTGTTTTCGAATGCCCTACGTTTTTCTATATTTGTTAAACGAAAGTGATTAATGCTTTTTTTCTTACGTTGTGATTTTGTTTCTTTTATAGTAAAGTTTCTTAATGCTTGGCTATTTGTATGTGTAATTTTGTATATTTGTGCCTTTATTACTTTTCTGCAATAATATCCTGTGGGCTCCACAATTTTAAAATTAAATAAATAAATAAAATGCTGAGATTGGGCCAGGTTCCCTGGTCGCCATCTAAGGAATATGAGGGTGTAGAGTGACCATACTCCCCATAGTTCAAAACGGGACATCTCAGGGAAGGGTAGGGTGAGGAAAAAAATACAAAGTGGGGTACAATAAATCGTGACAAACTGAAGAAAAAAAATAAAAAAATTCCGCTACCTTTTAGTTTACCGTGAAAACGCACACTTTTCTGGGGCTATTCATTAAGTAGTTGACTACACAAGCACCTTTCTTACCCATTCTGAAAAATCTAAACATGCGAAATATAGTAATATAGAAAAGTGCCCTATACACACAGTTCTGTGCAAACAAAACTTATTGGCAAGTGGAATCATAAAAAAAAGCAAAAAATCATACTTTTTTTGGTATAAAATTCTTATACTTTTTATTGTAATACACTGTCATGAGCAGTCATTTTTTGTTTTCTTCTACTCGCCTGGTACTAATTTCGTATGCAAGTTCCCACGAAAACGGGACATTTGGCTGTATTCAGACAAACATCCCGTTCTCGTGGGAACTTGCTTGCGGAAACAGCACCAGGTAAGTGACGGGACATTTGGCTATTCAGACGAAATGACGGGACGGTAGAAATGGTCCTCCAAGGTGAGACCGTCCCGGCCAAGACGGGATGTCTGGTCGCTCTATGGGGGCGAGATAAATAAGTTCTAAAACCCCCGTTCCACCGATCGATTGGTTGCAGATGGTCTTCACAAACAAGAACACCAAGGACGCACTGCTGTCCTTCAGCTTCCCTTTCTTCACCGTCTCCAACTTGGAGCTGGAGCAGCCCATTTTCGGGGCTAACTTCATCAAGGGAAAGGTGAAGGCGGAAGTGAATGGTGAGCAGTCTTGCACAACATCACTCGAATAAAGAAATTGATTACAATTACTCTTGGTTAAAAAGCATTCAATGAGAATACTCAATTACTCCAGATGAAAAGTAATTGGTTGTTACTAGGGCTGGGCACTTGATAGATTACCCTACCTATTAATCAATGAATGCTTCGATCGCGAACAGTTGTTTTAATCGATTAAATACAAGTAAACATTTAACGCTTTTGCCAAGCAGACATGAATGAGTACACCTGTATGAAGGCAAACTTGTGTGAAATTTTGACCCTAAAGTAAACTGTAGGGGTGAGATTTGCAACTCCAAACAAGGTGGGGAAGATTATACGTGCTCCAGCCTCTTTAATGCTGTGCGACTGACTGTTTAGCACAGCAGAGACCATTGGGAACAGTCAAAGGAGTTTGTTATTGCCGGAGAATATCAGCAAACCTCTTCCGTGGCTGAAGTAATCATTTGCGAGTGTGTGTCTCTTTTGACTGTTATCGACTACACATCGAGGTTGATTTAAAATCCGCAATTCTACATTTTGCCGTTTATCACATATTCAGCAAATGCAAAAAATGTAACTCACTTTTCTCAAAATTATTAAGCGTGGGAATGAATGAAGCTGAATAATCAATTAATTAATCAGTTAGGGGTGGGGAGTAATTGGGTAAAACTTTTAATCGATGCCCAGCCCTAGTTGTCGCTTGGAAAAGTGTCCGTTGCTTCTCCGATTAATTAAGATTTTTGAAACAACGAGAGTTTTTTGCCAGTTGTTCTGTTCTTTTGTTCTGTTCATTATTGGATTAGAATCACCAAATTATGAACCTGCAGTTATCATCTTAAACCACAAATTTTTGTAAATCATCATCCTCCTGTTGTCGAAGAATCTCGCTCAAGGATTCCTCGGTGAGAAACTTGTACGAACAAAAGGTGTCATTAGAAACTGGAGGGAAAAAAAAAGTAACGGTAACAAGTAATTTGAGTACTTCCGAAAGTAATCGGATTACTGTTGTTATTACTTCCTAATTAATGTCATCAGAACATTATGAAATCACTCTGAAAAGTAACAGACTACAAATGATTTACTTGTCATGAGCACCATACAAGTCGGACGGTGAGCGAAGTGGCATCACCCGATTGCGGGGTCGCAAACCGTCCTGTCGGAACTCTGAGACTGCGCTTTGGGTCGGTCGTAGGGGATTGCCTTGAACCGGAGTGCTTTTAGAGCCTTTTCCCGAGTTCTAGAGACTCTTGTTTCGGTGCCTTCTCCCACATCCTTTGTTTTGAAGCGATACCCTTATACGGGGACACTCCGCAGACCTTGCTTGCAGGTGTTGGTCGTACTCTAGGAAAGCCACAGGAGAGACTTGCAGCAACGGACGTTGGTTCGATGTTGTGGTTGCTGCCACGTGAAGCAAAGTTTCACGCGAACGTGAGCTTTCAATGTCACGCGGTGTCGTGCGACGTCACCGTGTCGCACGATGCCACAGTGTCGCACGATGCCACAGTGTCGCGCGACCTGGCGTCACAATTTCTTGGCTAAATTTAGCGGGGAAATGTCTTCACTAAATTTTAAAGGGCTGCTCGTTAGATGCCCCGTCGAGTGCTGCCGCATATTCGTTGTACTCAATGGAATGTCTGAGCCGGGCAATCTTTTTTCTCGTTGGAGTAGTGGTCCCCAAAATCGCCAAGGAAGCCCCCCTCATAAGGTTTGGATTTTTAGAAATGGAAGGATGGCCATCTGTCCTGACATTTGGGACGGAACGCCGACTGTTTTTTTTCTCCCCCGCAGGAAACTGGACCGGGCAGTGCACGTTCAAACTGAAATTCATGAAGGGCGGTGCCATCGAGTTTGGTCAGGCCATGATCGAGGCCGGCAAGTGCGGTGAGTTTCTGTCTGCCCGCTCACATGCATAGAGAAGGTTGTCTCATGCACATGAATATAATTTTCAAGATCTGACTAGAACTGCCACTTGTACATCTAGCATCGTTGTGTACTAGCTGATGTTTATATTGTGTATCTTCCTTCTACCGTCTTTCAGCATAAAAAGGACTAAAATGTGTTCTCGACTTTCGCTTTTGACCCTGCCGAGTTTGATCATTCGGATTTCGAGAATTCGAGTCTGAGACCCAGCTAGACCTGCGTGTAAGATTTCAGCGGCCGATTTCAAAACGCCAGTTTATGGCATCCACTTGGTCGGGAAAAAAAAAATAAAAAAGGGACACCCTGAATTTAAAAAAAATTTATATGGCCTTTTAGGTTTTTTGTTTTCCTAGTCTAGTCTAGATTTGTCTTTAATAATTATACGTTCAAAGCAAGCGTCACAGCTATGAAAGAACAGTTACACTGGCGACTGCTCTCATGCAGACAGAAAAATTCAAGATTAAAACTTTTTTATTGTCTATATAATGGTGAAACTTGCATCGATAAAGAAAATTACATCCAATGTTCTTTCTACATGTCAGAAAGAGTTGACCATCAATACAAAGTTGCAGCTATAAACTCTTGTTGTAGATCATTTTTTATTTGAACTGCATCAGAATGGAACATGCTAAATGAAAATGTGTTTCTCTCTGTATTTTCATTGGAAATGTTTTTTGATAACCTCTCCCTGCAATAATGCATCAAAGGCAATGCAGATAACGTCAATAAGTAAACGTAAATAAATAGTACCTTGCAGATATTTTTAGCATTTTTTTGTATTGAGTTGTTAAGAAGGCCTTGTTTTTTTTGAGCACAGAATGTGTTTTACGGCTTGCTTCTAAGCATAGAGCCTCACGAAGCTGTAACAAAGGTATGTTAACATGACCGATACATCCTTTTCAAAGCCCGATCCGGCAACATTGGTGGTTGCCATTTCTTAGGCGCTGAGCATGCGATTGGATCCGACTCCTCACCGAACGCAGACGCAGTCTTGAAGTACAATACATGCTCAGATTGTGGGCCCAGCCAATGGTGGGCTCGGATGATTGGAGCAACAGTCACTAGATGGCGCACTCTTTTGGAAAGTGTCTATTGTCTTTACCGAAGAGTGCGTCCCTTGGGCCACCGTCCTCTCGCTCAGTAACCAGAAATCCTCTCCGCTGCACAACCGAGGTGCTTTTTGCCAGCACTGTTGTAGCTTGTACACACGTACTTGCGTTGCCGCAAAAACTTTGTCGCCCCAATGGTGGGAGGTGCTCATAACACACTGCACATTCTATGTTCTACGACTTTATTCATGAGAGTTTAAGAAGCATATACATATCTTCCCGGCACCTCCTTGGTTACTGCGTAAAAGGACAGTTTTATCTCATTGTCGTCTTCTTTGTCCGTGATGTATAATTTTCGTTGTTTTTTTTTGCTCACGGCAGCCTCCAGGTTCATGACGACGGACCCCCCTCCGTACTGCGCACCGACGGGTCCGTACACGTCGCCCCCTCCGCCGGCGTACATGCCTCCGCACAACGCCCAGTACGGCTTCAACGTGCCCTACAACGTGTTCCCGGATGCACCACCAGGTGGGGTTGTCCTCCTTGACGTTTGCTTTTGCTAGGTGGTGCAAGCCGGCGCTTGATTCAAAGGGTTTAGCCGTATCCATACATCCATCCGTCGACCAACCATGGTCACTATCAACAGTATTAGGTCAACTCAGTTGGGGAACTCCCGCGGAGGGGGGTGCACTCCCCGTCATGCCCGCCACCTGTCGTTGGAAGCGCCATCTGGAGGCTGCATTTCAAAAGTGTGTTCTTCGGATATGCTACGGTGAAGTGCCACCTAGACACCGAGTTTCAAAATTTGTGTAACTGTAGTTACCATAGGAGCAATGCCCTCCAAAAACGGCTCATTGAAGGACGGGAGGCGGACCTTGAGGGGAGAAGGGGGTTCTGCTTGTGGAAGTGGCGTCTATGGGCAGTTCTGTTACTGAGTTGATCTAACAACGTTGGTCACTACTGGTAAGGCTGGTTAGCACATTTGCCTCGTGAGCATGCTTGAGTGCACTGCATTTTATTGTGACCGCTTACCATACTGCTGCTATCTATCAACAGCCTCGGAACTCTTCCGTTTTGCGTATGACTAGACTGAAGGTTTTGCAGTATTTGAGAGATCAAATCTATGCACCATCTATGAGAACCGGTCGCCTGGGAGTGTAACTCCAGAAAACAACAGCGGCATAAGCTGCCAGAGTGAGCCGGTAGATGATACGTGCAGTCTCTTCAGCCACATTATATTTAACAGTTGAGTACACTGTACTTCCGGTTGTGTTTTAGGGTAGGCTGCACTCGTAAAATAACACGGCTGTGTGCACAGAGTGCAGCTGGTGCAGGAGGCACAGGTAAATCAAACGAGCCTACTGCGTCGTGCGCAATTGCGCGAGGCCGCGATTGACCGGCTCCCGATCGGGTTCGCCGTTTTTCCGACACGTCGTACGACCGGTCGGACGGTTGTGCATGGGTACGGCCCGACCGAGCCCCCAGTAGCCATCACCCGTCGGGTGGCACACAAACACTCCCTCGAGCACGCCATTCCGTGGTCGTCGATACGCTCGAACCGGCTGTCCGAGCGTGGATGCGAGGCTCATCCAAAGAGTGATTCCGCCGGGGCATTGAGAGGCTGCCCCGCATGTGGTGCAAGAACGTTCGGCTATGAAGGCAGTCGATTGAGAAGGTAGACATATGTACAAACCTTCGAACGACCGGTATCGGCAAGAGAAAAATAAATTGTAATCGGTATGAGACGTCCCTCGTAACGTTGTTCGAATAATCTTGAGTGCACAATGAAAAAATGATTCGCAAAAAAAATTGGTAAAAATGTATATGCAGGCTGGAAGTTTTTGCAGAGCTGTCATAAGCGGCTTCAAGGGAATTCAGCACACTCGAGCACATTAAAGCGTCCGAGGTGTAGCTTGTTTAGTGACCCAATAGTCGACGACGACTGAAAAACTCGAGAGAAGCTTTACCTCTAGCGTGTGCTCGTGGCCTTCTGCCGGGCTTTAGCTAATTGTGCAACAAACTTTTATCAAAGGCAGAAAGCTAGCACTCAAGGCAGAGCATTTTACTGAGGTAAGACTTTGCTTAATAAAAAACAAAAAAACTTATTTTTCAATTTTGCTCGTTCTTAATGGCCTGTTTTAGTGTCATGGATTTCTTGTATATAGTATGTTTGTCACTTGCTAGGGGTTTCTTTGTAGCCAGTGTCGGTGGCAATGTTTTGATGATTTGTTTCTTTTCGTTGACTCCACGTAGATTTTGTTTGAGCACATGATTTTTGTCTTTCATGTCCCCGTTTTTTTTTACAGCTATGCGGTCTACTTCAATCAAATCTTTTGCGCTATTGTGCGCATGCCTTCGGCTTGAATAGAACTAAAATCAACTGTTCATCTGGTTTTCCTAACTCTTTCGAAAAATATGAAGTGTTAGAAGGCGATAACTTTATTTTACTGAACACACAAAAAAAATTCTCTTATAAATTTTTTTATGAAAGGTCTCAGTTTTAGTTCTAGGCACGCAGGAATACGGGACCTCTCTGCCTTCCAAATTTAAAAATTGTGCGAGAGTAGCCTTTTTTAAAAAAGGTACAAATGCAAAATATGCCAACAAATAAAGAATAAGGAGCTGAAATAATATTTGTGCAAATTTTTATTTGTTTATGCATCTACTTATTCTTGATAACATTTCTATTAAATCAATATTAGTCGTGTGCGAATAGTAGTTGTTTTTGAACTCAAAGCGAATTCAAAGTGAATAGGTTTTCGGCCATATATTTTCTAATAGAATATTGAATAGGTAGCTTCCTTGAGCCCTTTGCTACTGTTGCACCATGCTTAAATGAAAACCCAGCTAAACTCGTGAAGGTTGTTCCTAAGCATCCACTTATCCATTTATACGCTAACTTTAATCCAACTATATTTACGGACTGACCTCGGAAATTTTGATGGCTTGGGATATAGCAAGTGAACAACAAATTTGACATTATGTTAAACTTTAGAGATGCCCAGCTATACCTAATTGAGTGGATTTACAAACCTTGTTATATGCAAATATTGTTACTTCAGTCTTGAAAATAAATAAAAAAGAAAAACAAGAAAAAAACATGACAAATGATGAATGCAGGTTGTCAGGACATCCCTGCCTAAAACATACTTTTGCGTAGCAGCCACAGTTTAATTTTTAAAAAACTTACTGCAATGTGGATATCAACATTCACAACATTTCCGTTTCTTTTTAAATACTCCAGGCGCGCGCATGCACCGTTCCGCTTTAAAAGTGTGCTCTTCTCGCAAGTACACATTAGACCGACCTCGCCAAGCGTTCGGCGCATGCGTGAGTCCGCCATGACTTTGGTTCGCAGGAGGTGAGTGGTAGTGCTCGAGATGATTTGTGCAGTCTCGTACAGTGTGCGTGCAGAGCTCCAGTGAGGTTGTCGCACGTGCAGAAAGACTACAGTTCCCTCGATGCATTGCGGCGGCAGTGGCGTAGGTGAACTGGCTGGCGAGATCGATCTATTGCGATATTCATACTTTCTCAAGTGTTGATTGTGGAGCGCTTTTCACCGAGCAACACTGCGCTGCAGAGAGGCAACACCCGCGGAGCTCGCTTCCCGCGGGTGTCGTTTCTCTGCAGCACACCCAGCTCGGCAAAAAGCACGCTCGACGGGGCTGTCCTGTCACGGTCGACACTTTGAAAAACACGAACGTCGCAGTTCATCTCAAATCAAATACTGAATAGCATATCGTTCGAAACGACTATTTCAAACTTCAACTATTCGCGCAACGCTATTAAAAAAACTTTAGTTACAAACATTTTAGAACCCACTTGATCAGTTTTCTCTTTCGAGCTCTTGCCCCACCTTAACCTTTCGGGACTGTCGCTGACTAGGGCTCCACTACAGTGCCCTGGAACGTGTTTTCGACTGGTGCGCTTAGCGTCCTGTCCCGCCCGCGACTCGAAAGTGGTCCCAAAGCGGCAACAAACGGCGTCACAAAAGCCAGTGTCCCTTTGTCGGATGTCATCACTTGAAAGTCGTTGCAATCACTCAATCAAGGAATTACTTTTTCGTACGCAGTAAACGGACCAGTCGGAGACGGGTTCCACGCACCATAGTTCTGCCATGCCGAGGCAGCCGGAACGCGTGGGAAGAGGACAAATTTCTTTCTCTAGATTTAACGTAGTAAACTTTGTTCGTACCACAGCCAACACGGTCTTCATGTCGGACATGCCGCCACCGTACCCCGGCGTCAACAGTCCCGCGCAGTATCCTGGCGCCGGCGGCTATCCGAATCCTCAGTCGCAGCCGGGAGCGGCCCCGATGGGAGGTCAGAATCCGTACAACGGCGCGGCGCCCGCTCCGGGCTTCTATGCCGGAGTGGCTCCCCCCGGCTACCCGGGTGGCCAGCAGCAGCCCGCCATGGCTCCCGGCTATCCGGCTCCGGCCGGCTATCCCAGTGAGTGATGCCGCCTTTCGAGCGTCCATTGTTGTTTGGAACGATCTAGCCGATTCTTGATTTGGATACGCAGGGTTTGATAAAGAAAATTAAACTCAGTTTTTTTTGGTCGACAAAAATAAGGTATGCGTCGCAGAAAGCTGAAACTCCCATGTTAATGAGACGCTAGTGGTGGTAAATAGAATGCAAAAGTCTGGGAACGTGATGTCTCCTGGATCGGAAGATAAAGCAGAAAAACAAAACTCCTTCAGGAGCCGATGTCCACTTAGGCCTATCGTTTGTCGAACCAAGCAGTATGGGCACGTGTGGAATTTGCCTATTTCAATGAAAAAAAACCTTGTGTGTATTTATAATCTTGTTTGCTCTCTTGCTGACACATTTGTTTTTCTTCCCCTAAAAATACCACGGGCACTGGCACATCATTTTTGGTTTAACGAATATTGGGCCTAGGTGAATGTTGGTTTACAAAGAAAGTTTTATTTTATGTTACCGTATTTACACGAATATAACCAGAGTGTTTTTTTTTAAAATTACGTGCTCCAAAATGCATTACGCATTATATTCGGAATCGAGTTCAGCCACAAGGTGCACGAGTCAGGAGAAAGAAATCCCTCCTACCATGAGATCAGGCGGGAAAAGGAGGGGGGGGGGGGGTGGGAGGCAATTTATTAGCTATTGAACCGCATGAAGGGGGCCATAGAAAGCATAAAAAGCAGTTTTATCGCTTGTGCGTTTGTACAACGCACGTGGAAAGCATGCCACGTGGGAATGCGGGCACTGGTCAATTTAAGTCAAGCCTGACCAAGCCAAGTCAACACAAGCCAAACCAAGACCACCGACCGTGCTTACGCAGTCATGCAACACGAGGTGTTTGTTTATGCGGAGGGACCAAAACAAGAACGAGTCTGATCGTGTATTAGGTCCAGCAGTCTTTTTTGTGCCTGCACATTTTTTTAGTTTCTGCTCCTTAGTGGTCTGGTGTTTGTGTGTTAGTGCTTCTGCTTCCTGCCTTGCTTTGCTTGTGGGCTGTAATGCCGATCACGCGGAAGCAAAAGGAACTACCAGACAAGCAGCGCCATGCTGCTGCATATCTACAAAGTTGCCAAGTGGATGGCAGACGGAAGGACCTGAGCAGTTAGAATGAGTGCAGTCAAAACATAAACTGACATTTCTTCGATTTCCATTGCCGTTTCACTCCTGCTACGCCCCTGAGTGCGGTAAATTTACACGGCCTCAACTCGCATTAAAATAGTAATAATATTTTTTCTTTTCTTTTTGCGGGCATCAAAACCTGCCCTCGCATTATATTCGTGCTTGCATTATATTCATGCAAATACGGTATATCTTTTTATGAGCAGGTAACGTCATGTTCTCAAACTTTTCCATTTTGTTATTACCGCTAGTGTTATATTTACATGTATGTTTCAGCTTCCTGCATTGTGTAACGTATCTATGAGGGCTGAAAAAAAAGGGCTTAATTTTCTGGATTGCAGGCTGTACACTAAGGTACGGCTTGTGAGAATAGTGCATGTTCTATCGCCGTGTTTTTTCTTTTGCTGCATTTTATGTTAGTAACTAGCTTAGTGCACTACCAATCTCAGCCTCCGGCTTCTGGTAGGCATTTTAAATAAAGAATTAAGTGAACATTTGTTGTTAAGCAGATGCATGCTAAATAAAATCAACTGTAAACTCATTGTACTAGGTGTGTTTCCACAGCAAAGAGTAGTTATTATATTAAAATGCTGTTTAATGGAACTGCTCTAGCGGGCGGTTTGGCATTTACGGCACAATTGCTGACCTCGAGATTTTTTGTGCTGTATTTATTACTCGCATGCTCGTCTATACCAGCACCGCCAAGAGTGGGAATTAGAGCTCATGAGCTCTAAATATGTGATGAAACCATCCAAAGGGAATTTGGCAAATGACGAGACAAAGTTTATGTAGACCTTGAAAAAACAGTCTGCACTGTGGCTATGATAATGGTGAAACGTCATGTTCGGTGCCACTGCGCAGTCTGTATTCGTCGGCCCAAGTGTATTATCAGCGGCGTCGTTTGCCGAGCTCCCTGTGCAGATTGCGGCGATGGGCTCACCCAAGTGCTTTTGCACTTAGGGGAGCCAATGCACTTTAAGAAATCAGGATGCCCCCAATTTCTTACGAGTACTTACATCACAATCTGTGAAGTGTAGTCGTGAAGATACGGTATACATTCCATTTGCATTTTTGTTTTTCCTTACGCTCATGTTCTGCATTTCGATACTGCAGGCCTCGCAGATGCCAAGGCTGCCGAGGCTGCGCAGAGCGCCTACTACAATCCGGCAAACCCCAACTTTGCCTACACGCCGTCGGCTCCGCCCGGCGCTTTCTACCAGGCGGGAGATCCGGCTGCTGTGAGTTGGGACTGCGTTCCGCCACATTGCTTAGCTTTTGCGGCAACCATGTGCTGTTCGGTAATGCACGGGGTGTTTGTACGAATTTATTTTAAAAAGGTCGTCAAAGCTATACCAGTGTGGTGTGTGCGGGCGAGTTATACAGCAAGGGGGACATAATATGGGGGGCCAATTGTCACGATAAGTCAAATAGTTAACTAAACGTTTTTAAGCAGTGGAGATAAACATGTTCTGATTAGAAACTTGCCGGGCGTTGTCGAAAGCCACTCAGTCGGTCAATTTGAGAAATTTTTGCAACGCACGGGAAGCACGGTGATGCACTAAGGTTATCACTTGTTCAACGGGTGTAATGCTGGCAGTGGAAAAACACAGATGATAGGAGACAAAAAACTGCACGGGTACTTTTTCGCACCACTAGTTTTGCGCCTGTTGCATGAGCGGTGACTCAGGTTTGTGACACTCGGAAGGTTTATGATTGGAGCCATATCCTTTGTCTTCAATAACTAAAAATTAACTGATACATTTTGGTTAATTTAACGAATGAATGGGACAATTGTCCCTTGTATTGTGTCCTCCTGGCCGTATGACTCACCTGCACAGACTGCATTAGTGTAGCTTTCACGGCTTAAAACCAGCAACTTCCGTGGTATTGCTATCGGTAATTGCTACGTTCAATTTACCTGCATCTTCTGCACGGGCTGAATTCGGTACACACGGCTATACTCGGTTTAAGAGTGTTGTCTGCATTAACACAGAACTGGAAGTGCACTTCCCTGCACTTCTCTTCACAGCACTACTCTTTTTTGCATTGGTGTAGGCTAGTGCAAGTAAATTGAACAATTTCAGTGGTGTGTTTGTCGGATGTTCACTTGCTGCAGGGTATCTAAGGGTCTGCAACAAGTGCCTATATATATTTTTTTTTTTTGTATGTGTCTTGTGCCCTCCCATTTTTCTCCCTCCCCCTTTCACAAGTCTGGAGTGTCGTGAAAAGGATATATGAATGGCTAGGTAGACAGTGAAATAAGGCAATTTATAAGTAAATCAATATATAACTTTAGTCTTGGATACTTTCTGCATAAAACCCCGAGTTCTGACTGTGATTGGATGTGTTTTGTTTACTATAGTCGTCGCATCAAGAAAAAAAGGTAGTTTTGCACATTATTGATGCGCTGCACAATCTAGTTCTTACAAGATTTAGTTGTCAAAGGAAAAAACAATGCTTTTGGCATTTCAAACGTGTATGTCTTTACAAAATAATGCGAATAGTGGTTGTGGCTGAATATTTTCGAATTGAATATTGAATATTTTGTCTAAGCCTCTCACTACTGTTCCACTATGCTTGAACATAAAACAAGCTTATCTCGTGATGGTTTTTACAAACTTCCATTTGTTCATTTATAAACTAATTTTATTTTCATTTATTTTTATGGACCATGAACTCTAAAAGTCTTGGGATGGCAAGTAAACGACAGATGGGACATAGAATTAAACCTATAGAGATACCTAGTTATACCGAATTAAGTGAATTTACAAACTTTTTTATATTCAAATATTTTTCTTCTATCTCGAAATTGAAAAAAAAAAAAAAAAAAATAAGCATGACTAATGAACAAAGGCATCTCTGCCTATCATATGCCCTTGCATAACAGCCACAGCTTTTTGTTTTACAATTTTATTGCAACGTAGACATCAAGGTTCACAAAGTTTTCACTTATTTTGTGCAACATCCTACTTTGAAAGTGTGCTTTTCTCCCAATCACGCAATTGCGATTTCATTCTTTTGCAAGTGTTGATTGCGTTGAGTGCGCTTCTTACCGAACATCGGTGTACTGTGGAGAAGCAACGCCCGCAGAAGCAAGCTCCGTGGGTGTCACTTCTCGGCGGTGCACCGGTGCTCTGTAAGAAGCACATCTAACGGGGTAACGCGCTGTGGTCAACACTTCGATAAATACTAATATTATCTCAAACTGAGTATCAAATAGCGTATTATTCGAAACTACTATTAGAAATTTTGAATATTCACACAACACTAGTATATCTTAATACAACAGATGAAAGGGGAAATAGGCAACATTCTGCAAGAGGCCGGACTTTTTCATACTGGGGCTCTTGATGTGAATACCCTACAAGTATCCTGACTACACTAAATATTAATGTGTGCTAGCTGGTTAAGCTTATTACACATTAATAGTGGAAAAGGCTGACAAGGACCCAGAGGTTGGGACTAAAGTACTTACATTTTGTGTTTTTCTTTTGTTTTTTCGTTTGCAGCCTCAGGGTCCACCACCTCCCTATGCTGAACATTCCAAGAAGAACAACTGAAGGCATAACAGAGGGTGTCACATTTCTCCTCCTCCATATGGACAAACCAGATATAACAGGAGGAGATACAAGTCATGCATGCTTCAGGACAACAAAGTTGACGGGAAAGAGAGGACGTCTGAGTAGCATGGAGAAGCTTGCTTCACGTGAACCAGCCTGGCTGCAGTGTTAATATATCTCTCTTGAAAGCACCGTTGGTCGTAACTTTTCTGTGTATCGTAGCAGTCGGTAGTGCCTGTTTTGAGATTTACTGCACTCGTTGTTGGAAATAAAGGCGTCTATTGTAGTTGAATATCGTGTTCCTGGCGTGTTATGTTTTGCACTGATGCGATTTCCGGTGGCTCATCTTTATTTGAAAATGCAGCGTACAATCAGACTGCTTAATTCTGAGGGATTGGGAGATGTTTTAAAATGACCACTCTATAAGAGGCTTGTTGTTCGATTTACTTGCACCTCCTGCACCGGTGCAGAAAAGTTTAGGGCGGTGTAGTTCCGGTTGTACCTCAATACAGATACCGGAAGTACACCGCCCTACACTTATTTGCAAGGGTGCAGGAGACGAAAGTAAATCGATTAAGCCTAAGGTTTATCCACATCCAACCATACAATAATGTTCCGGGTCATATTTTTTATATATATGCAAAAAATATATTTGAAAGCCATATTCCTGAGCTATATGTAAACGTTGAAGCTAATTTTCTTCCGGAGATATAAAATTTCGAAGCTCGACGCGTGGAGATTGCCAAGGCTTCACTGTGGCACACTTCTCAAAGAAATGAAATGGACCGGCAAAGTGCGTGGCCTCGCGTACCTGTGGTGCCATCTGCCAGGTGAGTCAATCTATCTGGTGTCCCAAGTTGCACGTGCGCGCAGCTGCGCCAAGCACTGGGCGGCTGTTCATGCTTGGTGCACAACCCCCAATGGCTGGTCAACGCTGGCCACGAGTTTGCATCATGGCAGCGTTTTTAGTGCGAAAGCATTGACTGTCCCATGGAGCGAACCGACGTCGTCAGCTCTGGAGCCACGCCAAACGGCCCCTTCCCCTGTCCCAATGTCTGTCGCAGAAATCTGATGGATAGGCTCCCATTGGCTGGCGTGCGTCATCTAAGAACGATGCTCCCATTGGCTTTCGTGCGGCGTAGTTCCAAATAACGCCACCAAAGAAGCCCTTTCCATGGCGGCGCAGCGTATGCAGCGGCCCGGTCGCCGGTTAGAGGTGTGGCCAAGGAGGTTAGAAGTACTAGGAGGGGGCACGTTGCAATATTGGTGAAGCCTAGTCATAAAAAGTTTAAACGATATTGTGCCCAACGTGACCGCAGATCTCTCTGGCGATTGGTGCGCGTGACATGTCACGTGTGAGATGGATGGTTGATTGTAGAAGGACTCCTTGCAGGCTTGCGCGCGCTCCGTCCGGTAGGTTTTATCAGATCGAAGTCTAGACTGTGGTGTATTCTAGTACCCCATAGCAAGACGAAGGCTAGCTACGGTCACGTGATGTGGTCACGTTGGCATGGTAGGTGAGGAGAGTAAGGAGGAAAATGAGAAAGAGGCGAGGCGTCAAGGGAGCATGGCTTGTGAAGGCTACACGGCCGACGTCATGCCCTCTCCTACCCTTCTATTCTCCATGGGTGTGGCGGTGCGGGCAGTGCGGGCCTGGCGGTGCAGAGCCCGCTCGGGCAAACTCCGTAGAGGGTGCGTGGCCGAGCTCAGCGGGGCGCGGCCACTTCACGAGAGCCGTGTAGTGTTGAACACCAAGAAGCACATCGCCGCCGCATGACACCTTCCAAGCATCTGAAGCACTCTTTCGTTCGTATAAAATGGTGCACTGCCTGCCGACGTCCCATTTTGCTAAAACTACACTGGCGCCACACAGCGGCATCCGCTTCCAAGGCCTCGCGGTTACCGCTCATTCACACTGGAAGCGGATCCGCGTTTGCAAAGCGGTGGCGAACGCGGTTGTATAAAGATCCAGTACAATTGCACGCGCACTTGATGTCATCGAGTGCGCGTGCAATTGTACTGGATCTTTATACAACCGCGTTCGCAACCGCTTTGCGAACGCGGATCCGCCTCCAGTGTGAATGAGCGGTAGAGAGCCGCTTTTGCTGCTACACCCCTTCTAGAACACAGCCGTTAGTTTCACACCAAAGCACGTACGTAACAGAATAAAAATATATATAAAATAAAAGAGTCGGAAGACACCTAAGCCCTTCTTATGAGTTGTGAGTACGAAAGCATGAATGTCCAATGGAACGCCGGGGCGGGCCACCGCCCCGCCCCGGCTGCCATCTTTGTGTGCTGGGTTGTGGAAGGCCTTCTGAGCACGCGCTGTTGCTCTGCTGTGTGGTACATCAGACACTGCGCAGGCGTCCACAGCTCAGTGACTCAGTGTTTTTCGCTCGGGTGATAAGCGATGCAAAGGTGCTTGTGCCAATATTTAGAAGTCCTCAGCCCAGCATGCGATCTCCTCAGGCCTCCACGTGCACGTTCGTTTCTTCGGAAAGCGAGAAAAACACGCGCCATACGCACGAACATTGGAAATAGAACGAGCCAGGAGCCCCTTTTTAAAAAGGGACTGCAGCCAAAGCTACTAGCGCAAGCTAGCCCGCGCTCCTGGCTTCGAGACATGCATTTCTAGCGCGAGCGCTCGTTCTGCGGAAGAACACTTCAAAGCAGCGACCTCGAGCTCTCGTGCTTGTGGCATTGGCTGCAGTCGCAGCCAATGCAGGGGTGAACGGAATAGCGCATACTAGGGTGCCTTCATGTGCGCTTTGCTTAGGGTGGAGACATCTGGCCATTTTGTCCCACGCGTTTATTTTCATTTTTTGTTCAAAAGCGCGTGAAAGAACGTGTCCCTGCACGCGCTCGTGGCGCTGACTGTGCTACGGCGACATTTTGTTTTCGTCGATTTCTTTGTATTTTACCCGTGAGCGCGTGCTGGCGGCATCGGGTACTACAAAGGGTGGCATCACCCTAAACAGAAGGACATTGAGGCACCCTAGCGCACACCAGCTCGAAGCACGTAGAGCGAAAGCCCGCGCTGCAAAACCCAGGGATCCCGGGTTCAATCCCCACCCCGGGGGATCGGTGGCCGAGTGGTCTATACTTCGTTTCACCTTATCTGCGAGCGAAGCCAAAGCTAGAAGCGCGAGACCAGCGGTTTTTGCATTTCTCCCCAGCTCGCGCGCTCGAGCAAAGCCTGAACGCACAGAGCTTTCGTGCTCGCGCTTCTAGCTTTGCGCCTTCGCTCGCACATAAGGTGAAACGAAGTATAGCGCACACCAGCTCGGAATACGTGGAGCGAAAGCTCGCGCTGCAGAACCCAGGGGTCCTGGGTTCAATCCCCACCCCTGCCCGTTTCGATCTGGATGAGCATGCATCGTACCGGCGTGCGGTCGTGTATCACTACTGCGTGGTGCACGTTAAAGACCCCAGGCTAGCGGCTGTACCGCACTGGCTAAATTTCTCATCTACAGCTGGGAGACTCGTCGCCCCTGTGAGGCAGACCAAGTTCTAGGCTGTATAAACACACACACAACCCAATTTTTCTTAATCCCCACCCCTGCCCGCTTCGATTTGGATGAGCATCGGATCGGCGTGCATGCGGTCGTGTATAACTACTACGTGCGCGCGTTAAAGACCCCCGTTTAGTGGTTGTAGCGCACTGGCTAAATTGCTCACCTACAGCTGAGACACCAGACGCCCACTAAGGCAGACCGTCGGTACAGAACAATTTTTGTTTTGTTTTGTATTTAGCGCTAACCTTTTACAAAAAGCAAATTCGCGCTGCTGTCAAAAAAAGAAAAAAAAAAGAAAGAAAAGAAAAAGAGATAACCGCGGGCCAGGTTTGCCACCTACTTTAGCAAAAAAACAAACAAAAAAACAAAAAACAAAAAAAACAAAAACAAATTGGGTTATGGGGATATTTATACAGCGTGTAGTTGGCGACGAGTCACTCGCTGTAGATGAGCAATTTAGCCAGTGCTAGGGTGCCTTCATGTGCGCTTTGCTTAGGGTGGTGTAGGGTGCCTTCATGTGCGCTCTGCTTAAGGTGTATCCACACGACGGACCGGGCCGCGGACCGATTGATCACGTGATGCGCGGCTGCAATGAGCATCCACACGGCGGACCAAAAGAGCAGACGACAGAGCGAACGGGCCGGTCTAACCCTCGACCTCACAGCTCGGCCAAACGCACGCAGCGAGCTGCTTTGAGGCTATTTGTAAGGAGCCAAGATGGAGGTTGAACGAAAGGGACATTTGGCCGCGGTGGCCCTGGCGTTGACTCTTGAGAACGAGAAGGACTTAAGTGAAGCGAAAAAGGCACGGGGACATCTTTAGATGATTATTGGAGTAGTCGTCGCGAATATTGTCCCACAGAGCGGGGAATTGCTCCACGAGCGCGATGAAGTAAAAAGTTCCATCGTCGCACAACGAAAGGTTCGTCTTCTTCGCCTTCAACAGTTGGCGCCAAAAGAAAACGACTTTGGATTTGGATTCCAATCCAAACAACAAAAGTCAGCTTGTTGCCAGACGTAGCACTTCAATTATACTAAGAACGCCTCGGTCCGCCGCCAAGGTCCGGGCGAAAAAAGCGCTTGGCATTTCTCACAAGCGCGGGCCGCGGACCGCCGGCGGACCGAAACAAGAAGAGGAAGCTCTCGGAGTAAGCAGACGTGTGCACGCAAAGCTCCTGCTCCCACCTGCTAAGCCTGACGAAGAATTTTGTGGCGGCCGGCAAGGCCGTCACGGCATGCCCACCAGAAACGGACCACAAACTTCAGGAATCAAATGATACTACCATCACCACCTGCACCACCGCCCACCCCGTGAACTCAAATAGAGAAAGGAACACCAGGAGAGACCCAAGACTCCCGGACCACATTTACTCAATGGAGATGGACAAAGAGAATGGCGACGACGACGAACTCGCTGGGATTGCAACAGGTACCGATTGCTATCGGCATATACCCGGAGACAAGGTGGACTTCCTTAAGGTCAGTCACGAAAACGCACAATACCTTATTGAATGTCTCAACCACGCCGCGAGCATTAAGGAATGCATGAGCAACCTCCCGACCATCACAATGGCTGTGCAACTACTTCAAGCCATCGACCTGGAAACGCTGCGCAAATTCGCCGAACACAAGACTGAAATAGAACACTTTCTACAAAAGAAATCTTCTGGAGACCAACCAGCAGAACTGCCTATAATTGATCCTAACACAGCGACGCAAATGGCTAGTGTGCCTACTCTAAAAGAAACTGATGACGTGGCGATGGCAACACAGAG